GGAGTCTACTCATTTCTATTACCATTTAGTTTCTGCTTTGCTTGCAGAAGAACCAGATTTTAAACCAGAGAGCCTATCTAGACTTTGAGATACCGAGTAAAATGGAGCCTTACAACAGAGAGACAGCAATTCAAAGGTCATAGGAGTCCTGAATATTAGAGCGAGGAATCCTCCCTCATTTGGTGCTGCTTCCCTAACATGAGCAGGTACACGATGAGCATATATCATATATCCACCCTCTCCGTCCCCAGTCTCATATGTATCGTAAACATTTTAAGAAATAAGATGTTTCTGGTATAGGAAGTCCTACAAATTTTGATGTTTTATGTTCCCAGTGTAAAGACTAGTCCATAACTTTCTAGTACTAGTGAGTCATCAGGCCCTACCCAAGCATTCTGACCTTCTCATTAGGTCTCAAGGTTTTTAAAACATAAATGTTGTGTAGAGTAACAAAACTTTGATTCAAGTTTTTTAAAAAGCAAGAAGACAGTGAAACAACAACCAAAAACATAAAAAGTACAAACTGAAACAAAGGTAATGTAGAGCAGAAGATTAATAATACGTGCATTGTGTAAGATCCAAAATTGTGATAGACATAACTGTATTTGGAAGAAATGTTAGGTGAGAGATGCATGGGCAAAGCCAAAACATCTCTTATGAAATGCTGTTTATAGATGATATCATATGTCATAAACAAAGATCCATAAGTATAAGGATATTATATAGAATATGAAGAGAAATATTAAAATACTTCTGAGAATTAGAAAGTATGGGATGGAATTCTCTGGGATGAATGTTAAGGATATTTAAAAATTTATGTAGTAGTGGAGATGGCAGGTGGCATGGTGGTTAAAGGTGTTGGACTCCCACATGGCAGACTGCGGTTTGAGTCCTGGACCTGATAGCTTGCTTTCTTCCTTCCCCCTTTCTTCCTCTTTCTCTTTCTCTTTTTCTCACTCTGTCCCTCTCTAGTCATATTAAAAATACATAAATAAGTAAATAAAGTTAAATAAGGTAATTCTTTTAAAAAATGCATGTAGTAGAAAATATATAAGGAAAGAATCTATAGTACTTGCCTCTAGAAAGCAGGACTCTTCGTAGGGCCAATGGAAGGAATTAGGACTTTTGTTTTATCTACACTATGTGTAATGCTATTGCATTTTTAAACCATGGACAAGTAATCCCCTGATAAAGTTAAAAAAATAATTCGTCTCCATATTTCAGGCCAATTTTATAGATGTACCAGTTTTAAAGAATTTATCAGAAATTTAGGGTCTTAGCCATTGTCAATATGCATCTCATTCCAAATGACTAACATCCCTAATAGCCTCTATCTGTGGGTTAAGTCCACCCAGTGCCTGAGTCAATGCAGAAGTTGCAGGTTAGCTCGTTCATGGATTGGTAAGGTCTCAGGATCTAGGTACAATAGCTGGGTTAACCTGTGTTTAGGAGTTGTCTTGATATCCTTCAGAGCCAGACCCACTGCTTCCAAGATCTTCAGAGCCTGCCAGTTACAGCTCCCTGTCTACCTATCACCTTCTCTAGATTTGTGATCTTGACATTTCTACCTAAATCCCCTCCAGTGTCCATGGGTCAATCCCTATCTTTGTCACTAGGGACATATATTCACCTTTAGAACTTTTGGAGGGCTGATACCCTAACAATGTTCTGTCAGGTCTCCTACCTACTGATAGACTTGGCAGCTGGACTCCTCTCCACTGTCAGTTCTCCTGCCCCAATTATAATGTTTCCAATTTTTCCTTCCTACCTACCAGACTACTAGTAAATTGTTCATGACCTGGATTCAGGGCAAAGCCATGGACAATGAGCCAAGGCTGAGAATCCAAGGATTGAGATCACTGAGATTTTCACTGCTGTAACTTCCTCCAATAAGATCATATTGCACAGCCCCTGTTCTATCCAGTCCTGGCTTGCTTCCTCTCTCTAAGTAGCTGACTGATGTTGAAGCAGCATATGCCTCCAATGGAACACCATTGTGAAATCATAGATACCAGCCCAACACATTACATGCTTCCGTCTTTCTTAAAATACACTCTTCTGAAGATGAACAAGCAGTCATTTATATTTTCAGTATAGGACAAACATCTTATGTTGTAAATACCTGTGGGGAGTAGGTAATCACTGGGCACCTGGCCTAAAAGAGATAGCAGAAAGTTCTTTGACAATATTACTGTTTTTCCTGTGCTGCCTTGCTAACTATAGAACTGTGTTTTTTTCTTTATTATTTTTTTTAATTTTCTACCAGCACATATGGTAGAATTCTTCTATAGGCTTCAGGCTTCCCATTTAACCTCAAAAATGAAGAGAAAGCAATTCAGTAGGTGGTTAAGAATATGTCATAGGCACAAACTCAGCTTAAGGCATTATGAATTTTCTGTGGAGAAAATGCATTTATTCATTCTGCTCTAAGTCAAGATGGCTGAAACCCATTATCTCAAACTTTGAAAAAAAAATCCCCTTTGGGATGTGAATAGCCTATGAAATATTTCAGTCAAAAATGAAATTTTTGGAGAGAGTGAGGTCCAGTTGAAACTGATGAGGTAGAGTGTAGGCTTGCAATCATCAAAGCTTTTTCTGAGCCTTCTAGATAGGATGGGGCATGGAGAGTTAATGGATGATATTATCCTAATTATTATTATATAGTATAAGAGGGCCAATCTATTTCTGTAGAATAATAGAGCTAGGATGAGATTCGACAGCATCTGTCACAATAAATGCAAATATATAGAGAATTGACAATGAGCCATGATCTCATAAGTGATTCTATTTTCCATCTGAATAATGACAATGCTGCATTTCATGCTTGCATGACAGATACCTTTGGAGGCTCTTTGGGGCCTGCACTGGAGGCCCTTTCTAACTGCATATGTAAGTGTAAATGTCGGTCTTACAGTTTTCTAAAATTCTTAGTGTCTTTCAAGAATTTTCTAGGCACATTTTTTTAAAACTTATGTCCCTAAACATTCCTTTTCACAGGGATTTATTAATTAGTTTTCATATGCTCACTTCTGTGCTAGCTGCTTAAGTAAATGCAGAAGACAAGGTTTCTGACCTAAAGGAGCTTACAGTCTTATTGGAGAAGACTGGGTGTGAGCAAAGCTGATTATACAATCCCAGGGCAAGACAGGTATTAAATGTTAAACTATACATGCAGAGTAAGTGCTGTCTACACATGATCATGGACTGAGGAGTTTCTAGAAGGGGGGGGGGTTAAGTAGCATCACATGAGATGGAAAGGACTCAGTCCAAAATAGAAAAGAGAGAGAGCTTGCACCAACACCAACACTGAAGATGCCGAGTGGTACTGATAGAGCATACTTAGTACCAGTCCTGTGCTGATTTGGACACCTAACCCAGCCTATCTTGTACCTACTCTGGTTACATAGGACCCTCATTCCCATCCTCTTGCCCTTCAGTGATGTTATATGGAATGTGACCAGGGCCTGCCTTGTAAGCCGATAGATTAGATTGCAGTACACTCTTCTCACAATATTACAGGTTAACCGAAGGACAGAGTAGGAACCTGGGCAGAGATGCCCATGTGCCTTTCATTCTCTCCTCATATTTCTAGTTGGGGGAGAGGTTTGGGACCTAAGGACACTTAGTATTCTCCAATAATACATTGATGTTACGTGCCAGATCAACCACAGGCGTCTATCTCTATTCCAGGCTGGTGAAATGTCAATTAAATATTAATTAAACCTTTCCCTCGCTAACCCCACTAGGTCATAAATGTTTGCCTAGTTTATCTTCTTTTCGTGTGCCCTCTACTCTGGCTCTTCAGTCTGGGTAGAAAAAAAAAAAATCAAACAGATTTCTACAGCTTCTCCTATTCTCTCAAACAACCATGCCTTACTATCACCAAATAAACAGGCCGTATTGTTTGTTTTGTTCTACAGTTATTCATAATAACAGTAATGAAAATAGCTCTAATTTCATGGATCCACCACTTGTTAAGAACTAAGATAAGCATATCATATGCATTAGCTCATTTAATCCTGTACTAAGCCTACGGGGAGGATATCTTTATACTTGTTCAGAGAAGGTGAGTTCTGAAGGTCAAGTAGTACTGGTGGTAGATTACAGACTCATGAGCTGCTAAATGCCTGCTCTTTTTATCATATTGCATCATCACAGGGGAAACAAATGTAGCAGCACTGGGCAGGTTAAAATAACGTAAGGGGCTGCTGTTAAGTATTCAAAGCAGTAAGCTAGTTCTGCTAATCAATGGATGGTATGATGTGTATTTCCTTGGTTTCCATAGGATTAGAAGAACTACACATAGACCAGAGTGGAAGTTATCTCTGTATGAAGTTAGAGCCAGCGTAACTCAACTTCATTTTCTGATCAGACTTACTTGTTGTCACTTCTTTGCCCTTGAAATTAGTTCAAGAAAATCGAACTCAGCTAAGATGAGTGGATGATATGGCCATTTCCTTGTGTTTGCAGTGGATGAATTAAAATTTTGACCAGAAATTTTAACCAAAATTGTTGGGTGCTAAGGGGAATGGAGGGCACAGAGTGTTAATGAGAGTATTAATGCTTCTGCATTAGAAGGTGTATGGGACTTTTGTGTGTGTGTGTGTGTGTGTGTGTGTGTGTTTTGCTGTAGGGTGTGTGCACTGGCCAGAAAGAGAGACAGAACGTGAGAAATCACCCCCACAGGGGATATGGCCACACCGCAATTACTTCTCCTCCATTCTCCTCTCTGGATCTTGGGCACGCACGCACACGTGTCCGGTGTGAGTTTAAGCCACCCGGTCTGGGACCTGAAATGCGGTCAACTACATGGGAGCCTAGCAACATAGCCATTACACTAACTCCTGGTCCCAAAGGTGTATGGGACTTTTTGAAGTAGATAGAACAGAACTGAGTCACAGGCATCCCATTTATATGGGAGATTTTGCCTAGAAGTTCGGCATTCATCCAGATCACTGCTAGTTCTAGAATTCTAAAGTCTTCTCTTTTTTTTTTCTCAGAACCTCTCTTTTGATACGGTGAACCCTAGAGTGTCCCATGTAGTCCCAGATATGTCTTCTTGGATCCTACTCTTATCTGGTACGTGGAGAAAGCGAAGGAACTTCACATCTGTCTCACAGAACTCATTCTCTGAGCTCTAGACTATTCTGTGGAGACCTCACATTTAAACTATTCTTTCTTCAGGAATTTTTGTTCATTCTGACTCCAAACTCACTTCTTTCCTTCCTGACCCATTTCTCTCTAAAGCACATTCACCAGCTTGTTTTCTAAAAACATATGGGAATCTTAAATCAGTATTCCAAAATTATGTACTTATTTCAGATCTTGCATGGTCTGTTAATAGATGTTACATAAGATTCTGTGAGTAAACATGTTTGGGAAATGCTGTATTAATAAAAAAAAACATATGAACACGGACCAACACTACCCTCTAAAGAAGGAAGGGAAGAATGGTTTGAGGGTTCAATTATATTTGGAATACCTTTTTTCCCCCTAAAAAAGCATTAAAAAATAAGGTAAAATGTGAATCTGTATTTCATCTGAATGGTAGGTAGAATATGGGTGTTTGTTTCATGATTTTTAGTGTGTTTGACATGTATCATAATTAAAATAATTATACTCATTTGAGTTTTATTTCTTTTGTAGGACATTTAATTATTATATTGGTTCGCATTTTAAATTTTCAGAAAAGGGCTATAGCATCTGGTATTTCTTAATTATATTGGTTAAGAGCTCTTTTAGGAAGGGACTTTTTTTTGGGGGGGGAGGTTTTTGCTACAGGGTGCATGCACTCGCCACAGAGACAGAGAGAAAGACAGAGAGACAGAAAGTGAGAAATCACCCCCTAGGGGGAATGGCCACACTACAATCCCTTCTCCTCCATTATCCTCTCGGGATCTTGGGCACACATACACATGTGCCTGGCATGAGTTTAAACCACTGGGTCCAGGACTCTTAACAAAATTGACTACATGGGAGTCCAGCGACACAGCCATTATGCTAACTGCTAGTGCCAGGAAGGGACATTTTTGAGGACTCTTTTTCTTTGGAACATACTTTGTGAAATACTATATTAGGAGACACAAGGTAAGGGGTTTTTCTGATGTCTATTTTTTTTCTTTTTTTTTTTTAAGTTTTTTTCCATAGGGCACATGCATGTATCAGAGAGAAAACAGACAGAGAGAGAAAGTGAGAAATCACCCCCCAAAAGATGGCCACACCACAATTCCTGCTCCTTCACAATCCTCTCAGGATTTTGAGCTCTCATCCATAGGCACCCAGCATGAATTTCAAGCCACTGGGTCCGGGACTCAAACTGGGGTTGGCTATGTGAGAATCCAGCCTCCTTAAGCATCATGCCACCAGCTGGCCCCCTGATGCCTACTCTTAGTATCATTGTTAGTTCTAGGACTCCAAAGCTAAGAACTGTCATCTCAGAGAGTTTTCTACTACCTGTTATTTAGGGTTTATTGGAGTTGGTGTATGATTCACTGTTTCCTGTTTTGAAGGGTTATCTCTTTTTCTCCCATTTGGAACCTTATTACTTTCTGAGAACGATTCCCCCTCCCAATTTTAGATTTATTTTCAGAACTGAGATGATTGGTATGTCCAGAATTCAATGAATAATCTATCTCTCCCTAACTTCCCACTTCTCTCTGGATACTCTGAATTCTTAATTAGGTTGAAGACCTTCACACATGTTTCCCCTTCCTTCCAGGGAAAATGTTTTATAATCTCAAAATATTTTAAGCATGTAGAATCTATAATAAACTCAATCTTCTAAAGGGAAAGTAGAGAATTATATTCTCACAGAGAATATAATTTCTGCTCTGCATTGAAATTATATAAGTCATCAGCAAGTAAGTTTGAAAGGCATGGGTTAGACTTGCTCAAAGAGAGAAAATATTTTTGCTGATTAGGTAATGAAGATAAGTAAAAGGTCCTGATATATACATAATGCCGGAAGTAAAGTGACTAGTAATGCTATTTAAGATTAAGATCATAGGTTAGAAATGGAGGAAAGGTACAATGTATTGGGAATAACATGAGTTTAAAGGGCAAGGACTTGGAGTGTAGATGAGATTCTGCTGCCAATTTGGTGTGTGATTTTGATTCGCTTTATTTCTTTGGCCTTGAGTTTACTGTTTAAAAAGGAATTATATAAAATCTATCCCACCTAGTTCATACTAGTTTAAAAAGGAATTATATAAAATCTATCCCATATAGTTCATACTGTTGAGAAAATAAGAAAAAATGTTGAAACATTAAAAGTTCTGGAATGTTGGGGGTCAGCATGTGGCATGGCATTTAAGATGCTGAACTCCCACTTGATCAACCATGCTTTGAGTCCGACCTGGTGGTTTACCTTCTTACTCTCTTTCTCTTTGGTGAGCACATATGCCCTATAGAAGATTTAAAATAATAATAGTAACAATAAATAAATAAATAAGTAAATCTTTTAAAAAGTTCTGGAATGTTAATAAATGAATTATGACAGATGCTTGCTGTTAAGTTGGCTAACTGCTGACCAAAGCAATTGAGTTAAAATTTCCATCCTAAAAGGCGGGGTAATACAACTTTTAGAAAAAGTCTTTGCTTACTTCAGTTTGTTCGACAAAACTCTTGACTGGGAGATAAGACCCAGACAAAGGGAGGGTAAATACCGTGTTCAGTAAAGAGTTTTTGAGGTCAGGTATGATACCATATATTAAAATGCAAACTCCAAGTAAAGAGCTCTGTTCAGAATAGTCCCCAGTTTAATTAAATCTGTTGCTCTTCTTCACCATCAAATGCACCTACAGCAGTCTGGCCCATTATTTGTCTTGACCATTGGGTGCCACATAGATTAGACTAGTAGTTATGAATGCAGCCAGATTTTGTGTGGAAATCTATGGAATTCTATTGAAGGTGAGATACAGGGAGGTAAAGAAAATGTTTTCTCACACTTTCCTTCTCTCCATTTTTTTTGATATCATATATTTGTGAACTATGGACTCAACATCAGTAACAGTCACTGCTGAGATAATTGATAGATCTCTGCTTAGAGTAGGGAGCGATTAACACCCAAGGAGATGGGATCCATTAGCATGGGCTCCATCAGAACCAGGAGAGTGTAACACAGGATATAGGCTTACTGTCTCCTTTAGATCAAATATACATGCTTTATTAAGCACAGACTGTTTTCATCCCTAATCTAGATGTTGGTGATGGAAAGAGAAGGTATATCCTCTCCCTCTTTTTTTTTTTTTTTCAATTGATAGAGGTTGCACATACTCACCAGAAGGAGAGACACATACATACACATACATACAAAGAGAGAAAGAGAGAGAAGGAGAGAAAGCACAACCCAATGGGGCATGGTCATTCCTTAGTCCCTTCTCTTCCACTTCCCTATCATGTAGGAAATGTAGGAATGAGAAACATGCATGCATAATGGGTCAAGCATATTTTCTAAGTTACCAGGCTCTAGATTCTAACTGCTGTTGGCCATGTGGGATCCAGATCCCTTTAACTTCTAGCAAATGAGGATGGAACTAAGATGGTACTTCTCTAACTATGTGAAAATTGACTTAGAAATTATTTTTGAGAGGTTTTTGCTATAGGGCATGTGCGCTCGCCAGAAAGAGAGACAGAGAGACAGAAAGTGATAAATTACCACCCAAGGGGGATGGACACGCTGCAATCTTCCTCCATTCTCTTCTCAGGATCTTGGGCATGCACACACACATGTCCTCTGTGAGTTTAAGCCACTGGGTCCAGTACGCAAACTGGTTGACTAAATGGGAGTCCAACAACATAGCCATTACTCTCATTGCTGGCCCCAACTCAGAAAATTTTAAGTAACTTGTCCAAGAAATGAAATTCAGGTCTTCCCAATTCCATATATAATGTTTTACACCTTTAGTTACTAGGATGATTTGTATGATGAGACTTCAAAAGTTTGTAGAAAAAAGTTAAAATACAGATTGATTTTGGTGCAATTTTTTTTCCCAGAAATTCATGCATAGTTATATAGTTCATAAAATGCATGTTCCATGAACTTTATTTTTGATTTCCAGAGGGATGTGTTCATGAAAGAGTGACAAGGGAGGAGAGACAGAGAAAGCACACACCAATGAGGGATAGTCATGCCACAATCTTTTTTCCTCCATTTCTCCATCTAGTTAGAATCTTGGACATGCATAAACATACACCTGGCATTTTTTTAAAGCCACTGGGGTTGAAATTCATACTGTAGTCAGCCCTGTAGGATCCAGGTTCCTCTGCACAGCATGTAACAGCTATGCTGTGGGCCTGACCATCCATAACCTTTTTGAAGACCACTTTCCCTCACATATGTAAAATCGGAAGTAGAAAATAAAAAGAGAAATCAAAAATGACATAAACGAGTAGAAAGCTATGCCATGTTCCTGGATTAGAAGAATTAATATAAACAAAATGTCAATTCTACCCTAATTAATGAAATTCTAATCAAATTACCAGAGATTTGCTTTATAGATTTAGAAAAATAATTACAGAATTCACTTGGAATCATAAAAGACCCCATATTGCCAAAGAAATACTGTGCAAGAAGAGTGGAGCAGGAAGCAGTTCACTCGCTAACCTCAAAAATATATTACAAAGCTGTGATAGTCAAAAGAGCATAGTATTGGAACAAAAACAGGTATGTGGACCAATGGGACAAAATAGAGACCACAGAAATAAACCCCAAAACATGCAGCCAACTGATTTTTGACAAAAGGAACCAGTCAATTCAGTGGTGGAGATGGTGGTGGGGTAATCTCTTTAGCAAATGGTGCTGGAAAAGCTGGGTATCCATCTGCATAAAGATGAAACTGGACTGTCTCTCACCATTAACAAAAATCACTTCAAAATGCATCAAAGAGCTAAACCTAAGACCTCAGAATATAAAACTTCTATCTGATAACATAGGGGAAACTCTTGAAGAGATTGGAGCAGGTAAAAACTTCTGAAATAAGAACCTTAAAGCACAGGCAATACTCTCCCAAACAGACAAACCCAATTATATAGGCTGAAAAAGTTTTGCTCAGCTAAAGAAACAATAGAGTGAGCTGGCA